CATGGAAACTGCTAGTGACGAAATGACACTTATTTTTGGATAACCTATGATTATGTAATTCAACCCCGTAAAAGTTTTCAACTGGCCTTGGTCAGTCTTTCTGTTGTATATTTTCAAAGTTACAAACCATCAAAAAGATGAAAACCGGTACGAGCCACCTGAATATCATAGCGCAAAAAATCCTTTCACCCCCACTCAAAACAGAGTGGTAAATCAATAGGGTACTCGTACTTGAATAATAAGCATTGTGAGAAATACATCTCGAGTATAACTTTTCCCCACTTTTGTTTCCTCTGACAGATTTCTATGAACGTTTCGATTATCTTTCGTTTGTCTCTTATGTTTGCCTTTGAAATTTTTCGCGGGAAATTGACGCGCGGGCGGCCAAATTGATCCCCGCGCGCATGCCCAACGTTTGACTGCTGTGTTTATACGGCTATTCTTCTATGTGCTTCAGTGGTCTCGTTTTCTTTCGGTAAGAATAGACCTATGCTAAGTAGCTAGATTTTCGCCGGATTCGTGCTTCATGGCAAACCTGAATGATAAGATTCCTGTGTTATTGACCACAAGAGTAAAATTTCTCGACGTCACCGGCATCCTTAGAACCCCGCTACTTAGCTGCAATTAGTGTCAAAAACTAGTCGACACACCATGTTCGAAGAGGTCTATTTTTTTGCAAAATAACACTCCCTTTTCTACCAGTCCCTTTTTTAAGTCCTTAACAAAACCCCCCCTCCTCCCTCATTAAATGTTGGCTAAAATTTTATAGAATCAACAAGTATTGTTTTTGGGGGAAGGGGGTAAAACGAGGTAAATATAAAGAGTGGTGTATCTTCGTTCAAATGCTAAAAAGACACAAGCATAAAATATAATTTAAAATGAAACGTGTTACAATTTGTAAGAAGCAAACAACAATTTAAATTTACGTAGCATGTTTCGATATTACTCATGCGTGCACCTTCATTTCATTCCACGTCATTTCCAAACGCTCTTGTTATAGTTTGAATTTATCTTGAAAAATTTATTATCGAATCACGACGTCAGACTACGCTTTAAATATTCGTTGACTATTTCATTAAAAATAGATTGGAAGCACTGGAAGGCAACAACTTTTTTTAGTTTGTATTATTTTTGTTTTTCATGAGTTACTTCAAAATAAACCTCTCTTCCTCACGGCTCTCTTCGCGGTCCTAAATCAGTTTCACTGTCTTCTGGCGCTCTTTTTTCGTTCCATTCCCTGTCGAGAAGTTTTTACGTAGTTCGTGAGCAGCTCTTATTAGGGAGCTTAGGCAACCACGACGAAAGAGACGACGACGACGACGACGACGTTAAGTAATTGCGGAGGGTCTGGAACGAGGACGTCGTTTTTAGCGGGAAAATGAAACTAAGCAGTGTGAAGTTGCTCAAGGACGACGACGTCTGAAATCTTGTTTATTCTCGCTTCGTCAGTTTAAGAAATGACATCGTTCATAGACGTCCAAAACCTTCTTCTTCTCACTCAT